TCCATATATAAAACCATTCCTGTTTTTGAGGTACGCCTCTAGTTCATCTGTTGTTTATTTCATTCATTCATCTACATCCCTAGATGTCACCACTTGCAGATACAAGTGGTGGAAATGGGTTTTCTCCAAAGGCTGTCTGGCCTTTAGACATAGGGTGAGGAGTTCAGCCAAGTGAGAAGGGCTCAGCATAGAGCCACTACTCCCCCACATGGAAATGAGCCAGTTTGGGCATCTGGCAAAGATGCCTCCTATGTGAGGTGTTTTTGGGGATGTCCCTCCAGATGAAAACCGAGGACACGCTGGAGAGATTATATCTCTCACTGGCCTGGGATTGCCTCTGTGTTCCGCTGTATAAGCTGGAGGAGGCGGTTGGGGAGAGAGAAGCCTGGGGATCCTTGCATAGGCTCCTGCCCCTGATACGCAGCCCCAGATAAGCAAAAGAAAATGAATGGATGGCTGGACAAAATCAGAAAATCTGTTTACATTAAGCCTGATCACATCTTACAAGTAAAAGAATGAATAAATTAATTTTACAATGCATATTTATTTATTTATTTATTTAATAATCATGTAATTATAATTTTCCTGACAGTTATTGTTTATTGGCTTATCACCAAAGCAAAGACCTGTACATAGAGCTTAGGGTTTGTTACTATTCCATAAAGACAAGTGTAATATAACAGGTGTTTGGATATGGACAGCATTATACATGCAGCATTATTTTGTTCATTTTCATTCCAGTCTCTTTGTTGGTATCTCTGAGTTCCTGAACAGCCTTGGGTATTGTGTAGCTTGAATTTAGAAGCTGTGGAAACCTGAGCTGCGGCCTCAGGGTCATTGGGTGTCCAGTCTCTGTTGACAGTGAGCTGGGCTGAGTGAAATATTCGGAGTGTTGGGTCACTCTCCTCCCCCTGCTGCTTTCATGCTTTCTCCTTCTGTTCTTCCAAACATTTTGTGAATCGGTGATCCATTAACAGAAATGGGCCAATGGGATAAATACTGTGGACTGCCCTTCTAACGTCTCCATTTCCTCTGCCTTTTATTTCTTTTCTCTCACTGAATGATAGTCTTTGTCAGTGTGTCTCTCGTTTCTCTTCTTTCTTCTTTGTGCATCTGATTCTTAACAGGATTACAAATCAGCCTTTAGCCTAGCAATTTCTCTGTTTATCGTAGTGACACATCTAACTTTATGTCACATTATCCAAATTACAGTATCTTGCTGTTGCAATTAAAAAGGCATACAAAATTCAGGCGTGGTGTCAAAAGGGCAGTGTATCATTTATGGCCAATAGTTTGCATCACTATTTCTTTTCACCGTGTTTGTCTCATTTATCTGTCTCAGTTTCATTCCCTCTCAAACTGTTGTCCTCTCTCCATTTAGCTATGAACATCTTGGCTTGTTGCCATCACAATCCATTCACTACAGCTCAGCGAGACTGCACAGCCGCTACTATATCCCAGAGTGCACACTGTTCTTTCCAACAGCTCCCACTTGTACAGTAAAATGGCAGAATGGCCACTTCACAGACCCCCCCCCCCTCCTCACTACATTGTGTCCTCATGAGACACACACAGTTACTGAGTTACTGAGCAGAAGCGCATACATGTGTGAGTGTGTTGTGGGGCAAATACATGTTAGTTTGTCTGTGTTTATGACACATGGGCACATATTTAGGACATGATGAGGTTTCTAGTGCAACTGTGTTGTTTTATTCCCATATGAAATATCATTTTTTTGAAATATAGAATAACTGTTTACTGTGCCTACTTCTTTAAAGGATAGTAGGTCATGCTAATTCTTTGTTATGCAATTGCTACAGCTACCTTTTGAGATTAGGCAGCTATTGAAATAATTTTATGTTACAAAATGTTTTAAAATGTTAAAGATAGCTAAACCTTTTTAAAATGAATTTCCTTTCTTTCTTGCATATTCCTCATCATACCTCAAATCCATTTTTTAGGGACCAGTGGGATAATATCTGAACATTTATATCTGAAACATCCTCACCTTGCACCAAGTGAAACCATTGGCGGTGAGCTGGGAAATGGTTGCTAACATTTTAATGACTTAATGAGACCTAATTAGTTGAAATGGGAGAGGGAAAGCAAGGGGCCACGGAGGTGATCTGTGACTGTGCATGCTGACTTGCACACATGTGAGTGCACGACACACAACAATATGTTGATCTTTTCGAGTTGTTTGCATGTGGTTCCTGCATGTGTTTTGGGTGCATGGTTGTGCATGCATGTTAATGTCGTCTCAATGGCAGATGTGTGTGTATCAGAGTGCTGTGCAACAACCTTTCTCAGCATTACCCAGCCTCTTCATCAGGAAGTGTCTGTGGGGGGTCAGGCCTCATTTAATCAAAGAAAAATTCCATCTCCCATTAACTTAATTAATCCAACAGCAGAGAAAGACAAGCTGAAAGAAACCTGACTGTGTGTGAGTGAGGGAGAGAGAGTCTTTTAAGATGAATTCACAAAGCGTGGTAATAAGATCTGCAGAGAAGATGTTTAAATTATATGAAATTACATCAAGACATACATTAAGTCATGTGTCTGGATAAAAATGTAAACATAAATATTTATTTATAGCATTCATTTATATATTCATTTGCTAGTTTGAAACCACTTACATAGACAGAGCTTAGAAAAAATGCTTGTGTGAATAGGTGTGAATCAGTGAACGCGGCAAGTTGAGCAAAATGCTTTGAGTGCTGAGATAGAGTAGGAAAGCGCTATATAAGAACCAGTTCATTTACCATTTGCCATTCAAAAGAGAATGACTCAAATAAAAGTAGCCATCGTACTGTAATGATCACAGTATATGTATTTATGTTTGTATGGTCCCCACCTTCTGATAGAAAAGTGGATCAGTCTTGATCAAACTTTGCATTAACATTGCCTAAGGCACTGTGTTCACATTGCACACATTTGTTGATGTTTAGAGTGCGCATGCTACTTTTGTTTTACTTATGCATTTTTGCGAATGTTGTGTACTTTAACAGTCAGGCAATTTTTTTTTTACTCTTCCCAAGTGACTGAGTGTCTGCTGATTATCGATCAAGTTACTGAAATAACCATAAAAACCACTATAAAAATGCTTACAGTCTAGAAAGTTTAGAAAATAGACATGCAGACAACACTCTTCCAATGATAAAAAGACTAAGTGAGCACGGGTGAGCACCATCATGTCATGGAGACACTTCATCAAGCAACCCATTGGATATTAAATTATTTATAGCCATGATTCAAAATTGATGTTTCGATATTTATTTATTTATTCTTCATTTTATATATTGATATTGTTCAAAATATGACATCTCGCAAATTTGTCATATTTGTCAGTTACTGACTCTTAAGTCTTTATTTTTGTTAAATGGAAAAATTTTTAATTTGCCAACATTTTACCTAACACCCAGACAAAGACCTGTATGCACTTGTGGCGTTTGGTCCCTTTGTCTCTGAGCTGTATATACATCTTCCTTCATAGGGTTATGTGATATTGACTGTAGGGATGGAACAATGGCTTGACATGAAAAATGTAATTACATGCAGCAATAAAATCGTTAAACTTAAAATGTCTGTCACATTTTTAATGATCAACAACTACTGCTGCCCTAGTAAACTAGTATGCAACAGTCAACTTAGTGACCTAGCCATCACAATCTAGTCCTTATCGAAATCTCTCAGATCCTTCTGCTTGTCCATTTTTCCTGCTTCCAACTCATTGACTTCCAATACAGCCTGACAGGTGCTCCTGTAGTAAGATGATGAATGCTGTTTAATTTTATTAGGCTTTTTTGTGGTTGGTTTGTGAATATGTATGTTCTCTTTTCTTTTCAATTATTAAAAACAAGCAATTTAAAAAAAAGAACAAAACATGTTTAAATGTGACCATTTTGGATACTTATACTACTATGGAAGTTTCACTTGCTCCACTAAATGCTGTGCAGTATTGCTCTACTGAAGACATAAATGTCATCTTGCTACTTCTTCACGGAAGCAATGTGTTTCAGCATTATTGACCCTTGCATTTTTTGGTTTTCTCTGTATGTTTCTAATGCACTCCGTCTACCTCATAAATGATAATTATGTGCTATAATTTCTTGCAAAAGCTGATATTCCTTGAATCTTCCATCTCCAGATCTCTTGACCTTCGTCTCTTTAATTCTTTTTCTCCTTAGATAGCTTTTCTGTTTTGTTTTTTTTTTTTTGTCTTGATCTTGTTATTTATACAAGTATTTCAAAGGACAGGTTTTTGTGCCTACCCTCTCCCCTCCTTTCTCTATAATGAGGGGGTGTGTTGGGTGAGTGGATGGTGCTGGAGGTGGTGGGGTGAGGCAATAAAGAAAGGCCATAAAGTAAACCATGCTGATGCACAATGGAGGGGGAAAAATGTTCTATGAGAATATTTATTTACTTTCACCGTTATCTGAAGCTTTTCTCTGATAAGTATGTAGTGTTTCACATTAAATCATTGTTTCATGACAATTTGTTTTGCATGGAAAATTTATCATCATTTAACATTCCTTTGACTACAGTTTATACAGCATTCAGCTGCTCACTCTGACCTCTCACTCCAGGACTTCCCCTCTCTCACTGACTTTAATGTCCTGCTGCTGACATACAAATCCCTTCATGCCCTATGCGCCCATTTCATTTGCAGAGTTTCTCCCCCTCCTCCTCTGGGCTTCTCTCTGTCCCCAAAACACCCTACTTGTGGTATGCACTACCCTACTCCATCTGTGCTGCCAGTGCTATCAACTCTTTTGAAGTTATGGTGAGGGACTACGCTATAAAACGACTTTGCCTTTTTAGAAAGTAAAACTAATCAGATCAGTGAGTATAGTTAATGTTGTTCATAGCATAGCTGTGATGATGTTCACAGAGCAATATAAATACAAGAATGCCATTTATTTATTAGAATAAAAACACATTGAGGTTTACTAAAAGTACAGAACAAAGTTAACAACCTTGTCTTCCTTTGTTCTGCATAGAAAAGCTGGTTTCCGTGGAGCTGAGCTGCGGCGCTGGACCCAGCCATGTAGTGTTGGAACCAGGTTTGCCCCTCTTGCTGGACTGCAATCTGGGGGCCAGTGATACACCCTTCAATGTCTCCTGGCTAAAGGATGGACAGCCACTACTTCCAGAAGGGAATGACTACCTTCAGTATTTGGTCAATGGATCCGTTCTCCTGATGCCAACGTCTAGGGATGGCCAGTCTCCCCATGGTGTGGCGGGGGCTTACAGCTGTGTGACTGGCAGCAGCCTTGGAGCGCTGATGAGCCGGACTGTGAATGTGCTCCTAGCAAGTAGGTATCCCTGGTTAATTTTAAGGGCTATGGTCAAGTTAGTTAAGATAGTTAAGTTTGCTGAAGACTCAGAATTTTCATTTGGTACATTGTGAGAGAATTGTGATCTCTGTGTCTGTACATTTTGTAGAAAGTTTGTTAATGGTTTACTTTTTCTTACCAGTAAGACTATTTTGATTAAAAAAATATATTAGCCATAGTGTCTGTCACATCCTAGATATTCTAAAGACTGAAATCAGAGACAAGCAAAGATGCAGAAGTCGAGTTTCTTCTCAGACTGATTTAATGACACACTGCAGCGTGCTAAAAAAAGACTCTTGTGAAATTTTGCTCATTTATGCCAAGATTTACTTCCTACCTGAGTATTAATTAGTGAATTGTAGTGACATCTGTTTCCAGTCTTTATTCTAAACCAACATGACCTATTGTAGCTTCAAAATCATCCTAATTATGTGACAGCACAGTCTCACAAAGGCATGCACATGTCTGACCACTTCTGACTATACCTGAGAAATGGTGAAATGATTACACAAGTGTTGTTGTTTGTCTGCGAGTGTTTGAATGGTCAACATGTTTAATGCTGCAGTATATTCAATAAAACAAAATAAGAATATTGGTATCCTTTATGCATCTGCTTGCTGTAGAATACATGGATACACATGTATATTGAAGAATAGCAACTGAATTTTTCTGTTTTATCAAGGGAATTTCTTTTGCATGGATGGGCATTGACTTGCTTCTCTTCGGCCTCAGATAGGAAGTAACAAGTGTCTTGGGATGAGGTATACTCTGCAACAGAGTAAATGAGGGGGAAAGGATGGAAATAAAAAAAGGAAGAAGAGAAATATGGGGGTATGAAAAATGAGAGTACAGGCTGTAGTTTTTAATCGCCCCTCCAAAGAGGCCTCTTTCTCTCACTCTCCTAAGTGGTAGTCTTTATTTAGCCATTAGCTTTGTGTAAAATGAGACAGTATCCTCTGTGGATGCCCCTTCTTTTGTCAGCTGTCACATGCCTATTTATAAGGATCTCTTGTTTGACAGACAATGAGGACTAAAGGGAAGGGAGGGGGTATGTTGGATGAATGGTGGGAAGGCAGACAAGGCTGAAGAGAGTTTGTGATGATGGTGAAAGGAAAGGCTTCTGAGACCATTAAGAATGACCTTCAGTTTGCACGCATGTGTGTATAGGTGTGTGGTGTCTTTATTAAATTACTTGCGAGAGGCTATGAGATAGATGGGAAGGAGGATGAAGCCGAAATGCCTCAGCACTAACATTGAGTGGATATTCTTAGATCTTACAGTACGGGCCTACATTGGTAGGAATGACACTGAAAAACTGACTGTAGCTGAGACTGCATCTGTGAAAAAACATTAAGAAAACCAGCTGCTTCGGCGTTCCTGCCGAAATATATGATGTGTGTTGTTAAGGCAGACACAGTAAAAGAGATTTCCTTCTCTGTACATACAAATCAATGTCACATACAAATCTGCCTCTAATTCCGTCTTCTTTAAATGACAGAGGCAGCATACTGAGTGCAAATCACATTTTTCAAATCCATTCACAGGTAAATTATGATGATGGTTAAAAAAGCTGCTTTTTGTCTTAATTTGAGCAATTAACCTTTCTTATTATGAGACTGCTGCGGGGAATGTCAATATTTTCTAACTCTAGCTTCTGCAACTCATTTCAAAAAACAGTTGATGTCTTAACAAGGAAAAAAAAACCCACACAATTTTATGTCTTGTTGCAGGCTTCAGTTGTGGATAATGTCTATGAATGTTTTTCGTATTTAGTATTTTTCCTGCCTGTAATTGCATGATTTTAAAAGGTGTCTTATTATAAGTCGACTCGGTATTAATGCAGACACCCCATGCCAATACGAGCAGTGAAAGAGAATGTGGAGAATAGCTTTTCAAAGAAATACTAGTTCAAAGACATCTAGCATTACAACAAGAACTCTACATTGAAAGGCTTCTACTTAATGAAAGTCATTGCAGAAATACTGTAAAGGGCTTCCTTTTGTCACTACTAGTGCAGTACCTGCTTTCAAAGGCATGTTAGAATCAGCAAAAGTAGATAACACCGTCATTTGAGTTTTCTTTGGAGCAAATAATGCTGTCTAAACTTCAAAAGCGTCAAAGAGAAGTCTGACATCATCTCATCTCTGAGACCACATGTCAGGTGACCTATCTATGGCCATTTCATAGATGATGTTGCAGAACAGGAAAGCCCCAAACGACTTCAAACACAACACAGCACTTACTATTGTCCCTCAATGCACCCACCAAGTCTGAAGTGGATCAGATGGACAGTTGTTGCAACGGACAAAGAATACTCACACGTACAAATACACAGACTTCTTCATTTATCAGAGAGGTTGAAGGACATTTCTGCCTATTTGTTAAAACAGACAGAAATGCACATGTTTTACAGCAGCTATTGCACATATCTGTTGAAGCAGGAAGGGTGGCATGCTTGTTGAGTTGTGGTAATCAGATTTAAAGTTGGGAAGCACACAGGTCACAGGTTGAATTATCTGGTTTCACAAGGGGAGGAGGAAAATACTGCAATCTGATAGCTCTGGGGCCAAAGGGTAGGGCAGGGATAGAGGGATGGACAAAGACAGAGTTGAGGTAAAATCACCAGCAGCAGTGACAAAAAAAAAGCCAAGTACTGAGATGAGATAAAAGAGAGTGAGAGAGCAAAGAAATGTGAGATTTTTTTTCTCTATTTTTACCACGCACATTGAGGGGTTAAAGTTTACATAGAGCAATGCCCAAGGATTTGCCTGAAAATGTTCCGTATATAGAAAGACTTTGTTGCTAGGAAACAATTGGTCATATTTCGACCCTATGATTTGGTATACCACCTTTAGCTGGGAACGTTACAATGAAAAATTTCCCAGTGTGTCAGGACAAGTCCTTTCAGTGTTAACTCCGCAGCATCTGACTCTGTGATCTGTATGTAACTGGATGGATCTGCCTTGGAATTTCATCACAGGTGTCAGGACACTCATGGAGCTCTGGGGGAAAAAGGCTAATATGAATATACTCTGACACAATGGACGTAGAAGCCTAGCAAGTCGCCATTGTTCGATCCCAGCATGAGTAAAGTGTCGTCTCTAAACACTCGTCTCCCCCCCCCTGCATTAATGTTGAATGGCTAATGCACATTCGCTTATCAGCTGTTGTTCACCGCTCTGCAGAAACCCTCCTGTGCACACATACACTTGTGAACATGGCTGCATACAGTGCTTCAGAAATGTAATCATAAGCTGTCCGTGTGCAGGCATTAGAGAACAAGTAGCAGGGCACACCGGCACTTAAATTTACAAATGTACACACACCCACGCACGCTCATTGAGCGTGTCATCCTATCAGGCTGTCTGGCAGTGTTACAGGTTGTGTGTGTTTACATGAGAGAATCATGCTGTAATGGCTGGAAGTGGCAGAGGTTAATCATCAACGGCTCTTCCATGACTTGCTACGCAACAGTCAGTGTGAGATTTTCTGAAATGAATCAAATCCATTTTGCTACTATGACCAAGCATCTCTGTCAGCCTGTGTGTACTCATTGAGAAACTTTGTTCCCTCAGCACAGTGGGAAAACACAGATGGACAGTTTGTTGACATGACTAACAGTTGGAGTGATAGGGCCTAGGGTGATTTTGGATAGCCTGTCCAGTGTCTCCTCCTCAGCTTACAGTGGTTTGGAGAAAATCTTGTACAAAAAATCAGGATGGTGTGAGTTTACAAATCTTGAGCCTACCATGTGATTGGCTGCAGCTATGGCTATGGTTTAAGCTTAGTGATTTTGGTCATTTCTCTACATTTAGTTAGCAGACTTATGTTAACTTACGTTTCTCAACTGATACTGGAAAGGTTACAATGCTAAAATCCATCTAGTCTACTAAATAGTTTAATTTGGGTTTGTACGAAGACCTTTGTTATTCCTAGGTAATTTAATGAATCTACTGAACACAACAATAGACCTGTCATGTCGAAATTTTGGGGTTTGAATTTAATTTCTTAATATTTATTAGATGGCCTGGCATTTGCCTTTCATGTGATAAGTAGCAGAAATTCTATTTTTAAATACACAGTGGAGGGGATAAATGTAGGACGTCTATCTTCAGAATATTTCAGAAAACTTTATAAATAGCTGCTGTTTCACACATTCACACATTTATGTTTGTGACACTTTTGGGTGATGTTTACATGTTTTGAGGCTGTGCAAATCCAGTTTGGCAATTAGTTCCACAAGGAGAAAGTGTTTTATGTAAACCAGAAAGACTGGCTGATTAGATGCCTCTGCTTATTTAACATTCAAAGAAACACATATGATATTATTATGATATTACAGTAAATTTTTACAGCCTATTATGTGGTTAATGTAATTACACACTGGATTTTCTATAGCCATTTTATGTTTTGGGCATTTTTATTGTCCCTTGTGCTTATTTCTTTGTTTCTTACTGTTCTCCTCTTAGAGTTGCCTTCCCCGACTTCTTTCTCTGCACTTTCCTTTGATCCACCCCCACTCCCCTACTTCTCAGTCAGGGCTACAAACTAAGAGGCTGGGACAGCCAGCCTGTTTTGTTCTCTCTTCCAACAGCCTGTTGGGGTCAGAGGTTAGAGGCCCTCAGACGGTACTCACTGCTGCCCCCTGGTGCTCAGCTTTACATTCAGAGGGAAGCATTCCCGTGTCTGTGATTGTATAAAGACTGAAAACTGGAGTCCTGCCAAGAGTCGACCTGGACAGACAAATAGAGCCAAGCCTGATTAAGTCCCTAAATTTCTCCTAATCAGGACATTCAAGGGCATTTAAATGGCCTCAACAAGTCTTTAATCAAATTACAAAAATTAAAACAGCACCACTGAAAGCCCTACAATGGGTGTAATACAAACACTGGAAGTCTTAAATACAGACTGCAGAAGTGACATTCACGTACAATTCACATTCACTGGGTTGTCTGAACAAAGCTGTAAATAGAATAAATGATAAGGTTAGTACTGTTTGTATTAAGTTACGACTTGAGCTATCAAGTGTGAGCTATCGAGTGTGTAGATCCCTTGCACTGGTTTTGCAGCCATGGATGAGTGCACTAGGTATGCTGAAGATATGCTGGAGAAATTGTGGACCATGGCCAGATGTAATACCAGGTGTGGGCAGACGCTTTGATCAATAACCCTCTGAACTATATCATTACTGTACCTGCAGGTCTGTCGAAGTTCCGTCTGGAGCCATCTCCCCAAAAAGTGCCCACAGGAGGGGCTGCCCGCTTTGAATGCCAAATTGAAGGAATACCAACCCCTGTTATTACCTGGGAAAAAGATGAAGTAGCGATTCCTGAGGGAACAAGGTAACTATGGAGTTCTGCTTTGGCTTTTTATTGTATGTTAAATATTCCCAATGATCTGCATTTTGTATATGATTTCATATTGATTTACTCACTATAACTGTGTACAAGAGTGTTTGGATGTTGCCCTCCATTTGAATTCTTTGAGTTTGGATGTTGCTGCTAGTTACTAAAGACATGTCAGTCTTTTGTTCAAAACAAGAATGCGAATTTTGTTTGTCCCTGAATGTAGCTGCTTCAGTTTTTAATGGAAATGCAGAATGGTATGGTAATCATAAAGGAACAGCCACATCATGATAGCCACATCCTTGAACAGTCTCTCTCCCAGTTTTCTCACACATATATTCCCATTTAATGGATCACTTAACAATATCGACATTTCTCCTGACCCTGGAATTTGTTTCCAGCCTTATTACGTCAGGCAAAGTGTTAATGGCTGCTGTAGCCTTGCTTGACCCATAACCAGCTTGCTCCTCATAAGGTCTTATTGGTGGGACATGGCTCTTCCACCTCAGGCTCTAATAATGTCGTTAAACTAAAATCAACCAAAAAATGGTTCAAGCATCACTAGCTTTTCTCTTTCATAATATGTGTGTTTAATGTTATTTATCTATCCAAATTTTCTCATTATAAATGATGCTTTCTCTTATTATCGCTTTCTTTTTGGATCCTTTGTTTTCTGGTACCTCTTATTATTCTCCTTGTCTCCTCTTCTTATCTCCTTTACACTCGCCTGCTCTTTTATCCTTCATGAACAGACTACCGCTGGTCACATTATGGTCAGATTAATAGCCTATGATAACAGCTATAAGAGGTGGTGTGATGGCTTTATATTGCCTGGGTTCCACTGGTCTGGTTTGCCTGTCTGAAGTAATGACCTCTGTAGGGGAGGGAGAGGCAATGATATAAAATATGGGAAGTATTAACAGTGCAGAGAGATTCTGTATGCAAAACACATGTTACACATATTACAGTGTAGCCATTAAAACGGCCTTCATTTGGGGTATTTTGTGATACTATGAAAAACTTACATCTCAAAGTTCTAGAATTGCAGTTATTTTGTGTTGTCTGACTCATCTCTAAAGTGGTTGTACACAAAGGTACTTTCTCCTGAACAAAGATGGTGTCTTATGGGGACTCAGGAGCAGCAACCTACAAAGCTGATCACCTGAATGCTTCATCCTATGGGGCACTAAGCCATTTATATAACCTTATCTTTCATTCTCTCTGCTATTCCTTCTAAATCCTTCTTTCTCTGTCATCTCTGTCTCTATTTTTTATTGTGTGCAACAGATTCATTTCCCTTCCTAATGGGGTGCTCCAGATTCTGGAGGTGACCAAGGATGATGAGGGTGTCTACCGCTGTGTTGCATCCAATTCTGCCGGGAAGGACATCAGTCATGAAGCCAGACTCTCTGTCACCACAGGTAAGGCCTGTTGCAGTCCTTTATAGTGTTTGGATTGACAGGCAGGTACCACTGAGAACTCCTATCTTTCCATTCTTATGAGTTTTGGCTTAAAATTCATTGGACATATTTACAGCTAACAAAATGACACTTGAGGAGTTTTCATGTCATGTGAGTTTATAGCTGTAGTGAGTTTTAAAGCACATTTTGAATTATTATATTAATTATAATTCTTTTTTTACATTTCTTTTTTCTGCCCAAAAGTCAATTTGATGTATTTAAAGTCTTCAGCTTACGCTTGTGTGAAATGGATATGCATATTGGGACATGATTGGCTTCTGACATGACAGGCTCAGAAATCATAATGGTACATCATGCTGATGTCTCAAGGTGATCACAGAGAAACTTGTCACCTTCAGCAGATGAATTAGCAAACAGCCTTCTAGTTTCAAACTGCACCAACATCAATCCGTAGAGTGAAGGTCACACATCCGAGTGATGCACTTTCTATGGCAGCAGCTTTACACTGTAATGGAATGCATTACAAGAAAGTACAGTGCATCTGTTGGTGTTGAAAATACATTTCTAAATGATATTTTTACTCTGATTATTTCAGGACTGTGGTCACTTTAACTCTAGGAACAGCTGATACTATACATATACAGTAAACCAACTAATGTCAGTGAATAGAGACTGCACATCATATAGCTCTGTGCATTAATTTTTTACACGATGTTTCCAACCTATTTTCGAACCATGATCTACTTTTAAAATTACCAATCTGCCAAGATATGTCAATCCAATTAGAGAGCCCTAACCAATACTGATTGCCTACCAACATGCACACAGTAAATTTGAAAGCAGCACAGATACAGTTAAGTCTATAATATGTTTGACAAGAACAGCTTCACTTGAGTCATAATCATTATTTGATTGCAGAGAGTCCTCCATTTTCAGAGGCTCAAAATTAATGCCGACAAGCAATTTCATGGCCAGGTGTAGCCTGTTACTTTGTTATTTCATGAGAAATGAAGCAGTAATTCTAATATGAGGTCCAGAGAGATGTGCAAGTGAGGAACGCTATTGTAAAAACAAACAAAATCAACCTATCAGAAAGATTCTAAAAACTTTAGAGAGGCCGAATCAATGATCTGGAGGAATGCAAAGCCCAGTTCTGGTCTTTCAGACAAGAACTCAGTTTCACAATGAGTTGATATGAAACTGGATTCACAACAAGGTGCAAACTACTGATTACACTCAAGCACATAATGGCCAGATTAGACTTTGCCATAAAAAAACATCTAAAAGAGTCAAAACTATGGTTGGACAGAAAAAAAATAACCTGTGCCAGAATGATGGGAAAGGAAAAGTATGCAGAAGGAAAGGAGCAGCCAATGATCCGAAGCATACCGCAGGATCTGCCAAATATGTGGTAGGTAATGCTATAGCATGGGGATGCATGGCTGCCAGTGGAATTGGGTCATTAGTGTTTATTAATGATGTGACTGCTGAAGGAAGAAGTAGGATGAATTCTGAAGTGCACAGGGCTATACTCTCTGCTCAGATTAAGCCAAACTGATAGAACAGTGCTTCACAATGGATAATGACCCAAAGCATAATGCCAAAGCAACTCAGGGGTTTCTCCGTCATTAAATATGAGACTTAATGCAGAAAGACCCACAAATAAGCAGTAACTGAAGGTGGCTCCAGTAAAGGCCAAGCAGACCATCTCAAGTGAAGAAACACAGTATTTGGTGATGTTCATGTGTCGTAATCTTCAGGTGGTCGTTGACTGGAAAAGCTTTTAAAAAAAATCTTTTCGGTTTACAACGAAGCTATTTTGAGCCTCTGAAAATGGATAATTGCATAAAATTGTATAAAATGGCGGTAGTTCTGAAATAATTGAGGTCATTTTTTGAGTGGAGTGGTCAGTGCGCCCCAGGGTGGCTGTGGCTACAATGTAGCTTGCCGTCACCAGTGTGTGAATGGGTGGATGACTGGTTGTGCTTTGGGGTCCTTAGGGACAAGTAAAGCGCTATTCAAATACAGGCTATTTACCATTTACCATTAATGTTTTCTTAAATGCTTGTTCTCTAAGTTCTCTAAATGGAATGTAAATATATTTCTCTGTCTTACTTGAATCCCCGGTACTGAGAGGAGGCAACTACTCACTTGTAGTCTGGATAGAAAGAGTCTGTTTTAAACCTCAAGGTGCTCTTCCATCATTGTGAAACTGCATGAGTTGATGATCTTCTTGGAAGATACAGCATATTTACACAAATATGTTGATCAAAACCGATTTCAAATTCAAGGCACATCTTCTAAGGTTGGAATACTTTTGCTCTTGAAGTAGATTCTAGAACTTTCCATTAATACCAGCTGACCCGAGTGTTATTTTGCAGTGTGAGAATCTCATTCTCAGCAGAATTACCCTGTTAGAAGGGTGATACTGCTTTGCAGGTAATGCAACATCAGAACCTTCACCACTCTGAAAAGGCAAATAACTGTTTTCAAACCAACTAGGCTGGGTGCATAGTCAGTAAATTACTTCTTAGATTCAGGTAAAATGTTCTGAACTTGACTCTTCATATTATGTATTTTGTCCTGATATTAAAGCTACACAGGCAACAGCACTGCAGCCCACTTGAAATCAATTGTAGCTTGCTTTCAGATTTGTTTACTGAGCTGATCATGCTGATTACATATTTATCCTCACCCTGCCACTCTAACTTGAACTCACTGAGTAGGTCAATAAGATTTTGCAGGAACGCTATATTCGAAAGCAACTAGTATCTGCCTAGAAGTGCATATTATGCATGTGTTGAAAGATTAAGAATTCTTGGATTTAAGGCAAGAGCTCAGTTCTTGGCTAAATCATTGCCAAAAACTGACCTCTGCTCATCCATCTGACATGTACAGTAGTAGCTCCGTATGCCTCTTTCAACTTAACTCCAAGTGACGTTCAAAACAACCCTGTCGCTCCAACACAGCGTCTGGTATAATTCTGTTGAATTATACAACTCTAATCAAGGAAGTCTGGGGAAAAAAAACACTGTGATGTTTGTTGAAAAGAACATTACTGCACTGGCACAGTCTAATCAAAAAGCATGTTTAAATGTGAAGATAAATGCTGTTTTATTATTCTAGGGACTGTTTTATAATTCTTGTTTTTTGTTTTTTTTGTTGTTTTTTTTTACTTTATCTTCATTATTTTCAGTAACTAATCTTCAGTGGGTCAAAGCAAAATGGTTGTTCTGAACTGATGTCTAAGACTAAGCTTTTGTGTATAATGTCAAGCACTTTAAGCTTATGTTGTGTATGAAATTGCATGCATTTGCCTTGCCTGACCTTCACAATACATTTTTTCCAATATATACAGTAAAAAGAAGCTTTCATGCTGTGATCGTTTGCAGACTATAATATACTTCTTTATGGCTCCTGGCATTGGTCTTGGTCTCCCAAGTGTCTGGCACTATGTTTTGTTCATAATGTCAGTCGCTGATCAAGGCTCATTCTCCCTATCTGATAAAACATATTGGAAGTTATTGAATAATTACAACAAAGTTTAAACTTAAATCACTGCTAATCTGTTGGGAAGTTTGTATGCTCCACAGCAAAAACTGTCAGAAGGCTACCCCATAATGTTGATTCTGTTCATCTGGAGGTAACGTTTTTAGTTCTTGAAAGATTTTTTCATTCATCCAAGTGACTTCTTCTGTCTCATCTGACTGCAGGCTTCCCCAACCTTTAAAATATTACATTTGCATAATGACTGAAACTAGCACCACTGAAGGTCAGGCACGGCACCATTGACTAAAACTTAGTCAGTGGTGCTAGTTTTGGTCAAATGTACTGTTAATAAGGTAACAGAAACTTGCAGACAGCTTAAAAGTGAGTCAAGAAGTCACTGTGATGAGTGATGAAACATTTCACCAACTGAAGATGATATGTCCAGATGAACAAAATCAATTTTCTCTCCTTACTGAGTAGGTAGGGATCATTTTGAAAATTTGCTGTAGAAATGAATGAATGCTCACATTTAAAATGACATAGATGCATAGATACTTTCCTCCTGTGGCCTTCTGTTGCAGGAGGGGACTACTTAAGTCCTTATTGCAATTCATTACATGAAACAGATGTCAGGTCTAATGCCATCACTTAATTTGTTTTCACATCTATGAATAGAACAGTTCAACACCCATAATGGAGTTTTTACAGCTTGATATTGAGGTCATCACTTCATATACTTAATTCACAAAGAGGATAGAGGACATTTAGCTGCTTTAAACCAACAATTTCTAGTTTCCTCTATTTTCTTTACAGTCTTTATTTTTTTTTTTTTTACCGCACCCACACAGGCCCTATATGAAGGTACACCATCCAGTGCAGTCCTTACAAAAGCAATATGACCCACTTAAGCTTTAAGGATAACCAAGGCATAACCTTGTAGTCCTGATTATTAATTTATAATGTGTTTGCAGAATGGAAGGCATCTGTCCTGAACATTACCATTATGAGCAGCTGATGAGTGAGTGAGTGAGTGAGTGGAAAGGCCAACTCACATCAGATGTACCTTGAGCAAAAACATTGAAGCAATTTGTGTCTCTTCAACCCATAGACAATACACTTTGAATAATAACGTAAAGGTCTGTTAAGGTGAAGATGGGTATATCTTAGGTCTGTGAGTTTAACCATCCTATTGCCTGACCCATTTACTGTGTGTTCTCCTTTTTCTTTGGATAGTAAGTCTCTTTATCGTTTACAAACCCAATTCCTAACAAGTTTGGGTGTTGTGTAAAATGTAAATAAAAGAACAGAATGCAATGATTTACAAATTTTATAAAGCCATATTTTATTCACATAATAATGTAGAAAACACATTAAATGCTTAAACTGAGAGTATGTACCATTTAAGAAAATTTATATATATATATATATAATATATATATATATATATATATATATATATATATATATATATATATATATATATATAGCAGCCTGGATAGCGTAGTGGTTAGATTCCTGCCTGGGGCGTCTGTATCCAGTAAGGGTCCTAAGGCTAGACCCCCTATGCTAAGCGAGCCTACCGCAGACATGAGCGAGACAGATAAATATGAAGGCATGCCGGCTCGGACGTCGCCCGGATCAACAAGGTCCGCGTCAGGTGTTGAGGAACCAGGGCACCCTGACGAAAAGTGGGCTACTGGAACAAGAAGGCATCGGTGGGCAAGAGATGAAAACAGGGCGTTGTTGGAATGCTACTACGCAAGTAACCCCGGCGGAAGGGGCTACATGAATAGGATGACGGACCTATGGATTCTTCGATACCCAACATCCACAATGACGGCGAAACAACTAGTAGCTCAGTGATATCATCACCCCCACCCGAGATTGGGTACATAGCCCCAAGTGCGATAGGAGAAGGATCGTTGAGTGCGAGAGGAACTGACCTGAAAAATAGGATCATGGCCAAGCTTGAAACCTGGATCCCCCGTAGCCGGTTACCAAGATTACGTGAAGTACCCTCAGAAGGTCTGCTAGATGATGTTAATGCAGCACTACGGGCAATACCTACAACCACGATTACCGACACTAACAAGCTGATCTACAATACGGCAGCAGTGATCAGTGAGATGCTTGGCTACAAGTTGAACAGCCACAAGGGGCAGTACCCTCCATGGAGAAGGAGGCTAGAGGGCAAGATCAAAGTAGCACGGAGGGAGGTTAGCCAACTAACGGAGTTGCAGAAAGGTGCGACAAAGAAGGTGCATAAGAAATACAGCAAGCTGTCCATACCTGAGGCCTTGGAAACTGCCAAGCAAAGACTCACAGCCTTAGCCAGCCGCTTGAGGAGGTACACCAGAGAGATAGAAGGCAGGAGAATAAACCAGCTGTTCTCCACAGAACCAGCAAAGGTGTACTCTCAGTGGCAAGGGAACAATAATAAGAGAACAGCACCACCAAGGCTGGAGACGGAGCAATACTGGAAGAGCATATGGGAGAAGGACGCAACCCATAACGGCAATGCTCAGTGGCTAGTGGATCTGAGGGCAGACCACAGCGACCTCCCTGAACAGGGTCCAGTAACCATCACAGTGGCAGATATCCAAGAAAGGGTCTCCAGTATGAAGAGTTGGACAGCACCAGGGCCCGACATGGTTCACGCCTACTGGCTAAAGAAGCTGACTGCACTCCACGAGCGTCTGGCAGCACAAATGAACCAGCTGCTAGTTAACGAGAGACACCCGGAATGGCTAACCGAAGGTCGGACGGTCCTGATCCCCAAGGACCCCAAGAAGGGACCGGTCCCCTCCAACTACCGACCAATAACCTGCCTCAGTACTACATGGAAGCTCCTGTCAGGCATCATATCGGCTAAGATGAACAGGCACATGGGTCAATACATGAGTGGGACACAGAAAGGAATTGGCAAGAATACCAGAGGCGCAAAACACCAACTACTGGTAGACAGAACAGTCAGCCGAGACTGCAAGACCAGACTGACCAACCTGTGCACTGCCTGGATTGATTACAAGAAGGCCTATGACTCAATGCCCCACAGCTGGATACTGGAATGCCTAGAATTGTACAAGATCAATGGGACCCTAAGAGCCTTCATCAGGAACTCAATGGGGATGTGGGTACAACACTAGAGGCCAACTCCAAGCCCATAGCACAAGTCACCATCAAGTGCGGGATCTACCAAGGAGATGCTCTGTCCCCACTGCTGTTCTGCATAGGCCTGAACCCCCTCAGTGAGATCATTAACAAGACTGGCTACGGATACCGACTACGGAACGGAGCAGTTGTCAGCCACCTCCTGTACATGGATGACATCAAGCTGTATGCCAAGAGTGAACGAGACATCGATTCACTGATCCACACTACCAGGCTATACAGCAATGACATTGGAATGTCGTTCGGACTGGAGAAGTGTAGTCGGATGGTAACAAAGAGAGGGAAGGTAGTCAGAACTGAGGGGATTGAACTACCAGAAGGCAACATTGCAGACATAGAGGACAGTTACAAGTACCTGGGGATCCCGCAGGCAAATGGGAACCATGAAGAGGCCGCTAGAAAGGCTGCAACCACCAAGTACCTGCAGAGGGTCAGGCAAGTCCTGAGGAGTCAGCTGAATGGTAAGAACAAGATCCGGGCCATCAACACGTACGCCCTGCCCGTGATCAGGTACCCTGCTGGGGTAATAGGCTGGCCAAAGGAGGAGATAGAAGCCACTGACATAAAGACAAGAAAGCTCCTTACCATGCATGGAGGGTTTCACCCCAAGTCCAGCACCCTGAGGCTGTACGCTAAGCGGAAGGAAGGGGGCCGGGGACTGGTGAGTGTCAGCACCACAGTCCAGGATGAGACAACGAACATCCAAGAATACATTGGGAAGATGGCCCCAACTGACCGAGTGCTCAGTGAATACCTCAGGCAGCAGAAACCCAAGAAAGAGGAGGGAGACGAGGAACCATCATGGAAGGACAGGCCCCTGCACGGTATGTACCACCGGCAGATAGAGGAGGTGGCTGATATCCAGAAATCCTACCAGTGGCTGGACAAAGCTGGACTGAAAGACAGCACAGAGGCACTAATCATGGCAGCACAAGAACAAGCTCTGAGTACAAGATCCATAGAGGCTGGGGTCTATCACACCAGGCAAGACCCCAGGTGCAGGCTGTGTAAAGATGCCCCAGAGACAATCCAGCACATAACAGCAGGGTGCAAGATGCTAGCAGGCAAGGCATACATGGAACGCCACAACCAAGTGGCCGGCATAGTGTACAGGAACATCTGTGCCGAGTATAACCTGGAAGTCCCGAGGTCAAAATGGGAGATGCCCCCAAGGGTGGTGGAGAATGACCGAGCTAAGATCCTGTGGGACTTCCAGATACAGACGGACAAAAGTGTAACAACGGCTAGTGGTGGAGCAAACAGAAGAAGACGGCCGTAGTGATCGATGTAGCGGTTCCGAATGACAGCAATATCAGGAAGAAGGAACACGAGAAGCTGGAGAAATACCAAGGGCTCAGAGAAGAGCTCGAGAGGATGTGGAGGGTGAAGGTAACGGTGGTCCCCGTGGTAATCGGAGCACTAGGTGCGGTGACTCCCAAGCTAGGAGTGGCTCCACAGATCCCGGGAATAACATCGGAGATCTCTCCAGAAGAGCCATCTGAACGTCTAAGATACTGCGCAGACAACTCAAGCTCCCAGGCTCTGGTACGAACCAGCTTGAAGATTAAACCGCGCCGCAGGGCTGCTGGGTGATTTTATAAAACTTAATTTTTATTAATATATTAATATATATATATATATATATATATATATATATATATATATATATATATATATATATATATATATATACTTTTTTTTTTTTTTTTTTTTTTTTTTTTTCACCAGATTTGTAGAATAAACACGAGCAACACATGTCAAAAAAGTTGGGAGAGGGTCATCTTTATCATTGTGTAGCATCTCCTCTTCTTTTAACCACAGCCCATAAACATCTGGTAACTGAGGAGACCAGTTACTGGACTTCTGGGAGAGGAATGTGGTTTATTATTGTCTGATTATGTTGCTAGAAAAACCACACCTTTCAGCACAGATGGTGCCTTTCTACATGTGCAAACTTCCAGTTCCTTTGGCAGTGATGCACCATCATGCCAGCAGACAGGCAGGCTTCTGAACAGAGCATTGATAAGATGCTGGATTGTCACTCTCCTCTAGTTTAGAAAATGTGGGTGTGAGGCCATAAGAGAATCATGTCTGTTTTTAATGGAATGCCCCCTCAGGGCCCGAAGATCATGGGCAACCAGTATTCCTTTTTTGCCTCGTCCTAGATATTTCTTCAGATTCTTTTTATGATGATATTATATGCTGTAAATAATAAGGCATGAGTCTTAAGAATTTTACCCTGAGAACCATAATTCTGAAATTGTTCCATAATTCATAGAAAGATTTTCGCAGATTGCTGAATGTCTGCCATCTTTAGTTCTGGGAGAATTTTCCTCTCCCAAGATGTTCTTTTTATACCCAATCGCATTACCGATCTGTTGCAAAGCAAATGAGCTCTACAAATATATTTCATAAAGTAAGAAACCGCCTCTGTTTTATCATTCAATATGTTTTTATGTGCTTTTGGGAATTAAATGCGGGTTTATGAGATTTGCGCCCAACCTTTTCAGAAATTGGTTTGTAGAAGCATCACTTATGTTCTCCCCTCAGTCAAGCATTCTGTGTAGGCTTGATTTCTGGTGTATGTCCAAAATCTGTTAGTGAAGGTTCACATTGCTCCATGTAAATAATAACATTCCAGTGTCCATCCTAACAAATGCTTAATGTCAAACACTTTCTGGTCATATCTACATCCACCATTTTAATGAGTCTGGAGGACTCAAATGTTTCAATGCAAGCCTCTAAAGGTTGATTCTGTTCATCTGGACGTAGCATTTTCAGTGGGAGAAACATCCAGATGAACAGAATCAACCTTTGGAGATTTTCCTTACCTGGATGATTGAGAATGCATCAAGCCGTTTCAATGCAATACAGCTTCAAACCTCTCTGCAGTTTAGCCTGAAGGCAGGGTAGGATTTAAATGAAATACAGAACACAATTTTTCTAAATACTTGATAATGATTTTATTTGTATATATGCAAATCTGACTGATGCAAAACTTCTGTGACAGCTACTTGGTTTAAAAAGTGTGTATTTGAATTGCTAACAGAGCTGTAAATCTTGGCAGCAACCCTGAAGAGCGAGATCAGGATCAATGGGTTCACCACTGTCTAATGTGATATTTACTGGTCCAGACTGCCAAAGCTTACGTTTCTTTCGCTGACATAGGCTCGACCGAAGCCCTGAACAGAGTTGTGATTGTGGCACCACCTCAGAATGCTTCAGTTGTGCTTGGACATCCTGCCGTGATGGAGTGTATGGCTCAAGGCCAGCCGAAACCACTGGTGTCCTGGAGCAGACAAGGTAATACTGGCAAATTATCTTACACTTTTCTCTCTGTGCCTCTTAGCCTATTGTTTTTGTACTCTACTGCATCTGTCTGTCATTATCAGTGCCTCACTCGCCGTTTATCTGCCAAACACACGCAAAGAACAAACATCAGCAAGTGAGGATCAGATTTGCAGTAGCTGCAGGTGTAAAGTTGATATTAGCTGTCTCTTTTCAACTGCTTTATCCTGCATTGAGTCATGCTTTACATAGGGTGATTTGTCACATCAATTCATTCACACCTCCACCATTTGTCCACACCCATCCATACACACACATGAAATGTTAATGGGGAAAAAATCCTTTCACATCCTGTGACTCAGCAACATTTGAATTCGCAAAGAATCATTGTTAGAATCAATTCTTAGAAGACTATATATGCATTGGTCATTCTGGTTATCATTTGCAACGTGGCCGTTGGAGCTTAAATACTGACCATTTCTTTTTCACCTCGTATTTTTTAGTTGGTGGCCATAAATCCTCCTCAAAATGGCGGACAAAGTAAATAAGGGTCTATATAGTGAATAGGGAATGATTTCACACAGAGCCTAGGAGTGTGCCAATGCAGAGAGCTCAGTGATCCCAGACTGAAAAGTCACAGAGCCACCTGTTGGTCAGTTTTTGTGATTACAGGTCAAATCCCTCCATGCTCAAAGCAACATCTCTGTCTTTTGTGCTGTTTCTCAGGCAACTGAAAGCCTCCCAAATGAGCTCAATTTTTCTCAAGGCCAGTGTCCTTTTTCTCCCATCAGCACGATCTCCTTTGTTCTCTCTTGCTTTCTTCTTTGATCAGACGGAAAGCCCATGTCTACTGATGTGGTCGTCCTTGCAACAAACCTGGTGATTAGAGACACAAGGCGTCACCATGCTGGTGTCTATGTCTGCCGAGCCAACAAGCCCAGGACCAGAGAGTTTGTCATTGCTGCTGCTGAGCTGCAAGTACCCGGTAGGAGTTGTGTTATGTTCTCTATATTAAGATTAAAGCTTTTTCATGGAGACACCAATGTCAAAAGGTTGGTTCTCAATTTAAGGCATTTCTGAAGGAGCACTGGCTTTCACATAGACCTCTGTTCATTAATCAGGAGGAGGAGAAAGAAAATAAGGAATCATACATAAACCACAGTCTCTTAAATCTTCAATAAATATAACACACTCCGTTATGGAATTGTTCATCTAACTGCTAATGTTAATGTCAAAGAGCTCTTTTAAAAAGATGGGCATGCCTAGCTGGTGTCTGTTAAATTAGATAAATTAATATATTATATTAAAGATGGACTATTAAAAACCAAAACTAGCAAAGCTCATTTTGATTTTAAATTGAAAATGTGTTTTACTTAGCAATTTTAACTTTGGCTTGAAACATTTAACATAAATGTGTCTGGCCTTCTCACTTGCTGGTGAATATCTATAAACTGACATTCGGTTTGATTTTTGGTACAGGAAGTTCTTCACTCTCTGGTTCATGCTTCTTCTCATTTTTTGACAATAATTAAGTAGTTATTATTAATATTATTATTATTATTATTACTAATAGTAGTTGTAGTAGTAGTAGGATTAGCAGTATATTGTTTTGTAAGACATGTCATTCACAATGCAAGTAAAGGAGGCAAAAAGACTGCTGCATTGCATTTCGGGAGGTGTAGGCTAAAACTTAGAGTTGTGATAGCTTCATGTTACTTTAAAAAACATGTCTATAATAAAACTGAAAGATGCACTTCTTGCAAATTCCATGCACCTACTGTTATTAGTTTTCTCAAAAATGTTTTATTAGATGTTTTCTCTTCTTTTTCTAAGGGTCCACATTAAAATCTCATTATCATGAAAAAAGTACAAGCGCTAGGTCCCTCCAGTTTTTTCATGGTGAAGATCTGGTACTCTGGCTCTATGAATTTTCATTAAAGTATGCTTTTCCTCAAGTATGACAACATGTACCAAATCCAAATGAGCATTTTTAGAGAAAGCCTCTTAAGGAAACAAGGCTATAAAAATGCCTACAAGCCTACCTACATCTGTTGAAATACTTGACAGAAGGGACCTGAAATGTTCCATAGTTCCTATTAAAACCCACTTAATCCCAAAATTTTCCTTGCAAAATAAGTGCATGCATTTTACATGCACTTTACATGCACTACACACAATATGTGCAATTGTAATAGGGGGGTTAAAACGGCAACAATTGTCGCCGGTGGGATTAAAAGGGTTACGAAGTGTATCTTTAAATTTTTTCAGGCAAAGCTGAGGTGTTCAGATGGTAGCCACTTCATGAACTGACATGGAATGACCTCAGACTTTTTCTTCTAATTCTCCAGCCCCCCCAGTGATTCTTCAGGGCCCAGAGACAGTGTCCCTCTCCCGGGGAAACACAGCCAGGTTTTTGTGTAACAGCTCTGGAGAACCTCCTCCAGTGTTGCACTGGTTGAAGAATGGCCAGCCTATAAAGTCATTCAGACGAGTAAAGACCCAAAGCCCCGGAGTCCTGCTAATTAACCAGCTGGCTCTGGAAGATGCAGGCTACTACCAGTGCATAGCAGAGAACTGGCTTGGCACAGCCTGTGCGACTGCCAGGCTGACGGTCATTGTGAGGGAAGGTCTGCCCAGCCCTCCTCGCCACCTTTCTGCTACACCATACTCCAGCACAACTGCCCTGCTCAGCTGGGAGAAACCTGAGTACAACTCAGATCAAATCATTGGCTACTCGGTGCACTGCCACAGCACTGCAGGTCTGTCTCTGTGTCACAAATCTGTGTATGTGAGGCCACATGGCAAGCATGCTTACATTTGATTTGAACGTTTTCATCTTTCAGGCTCTGATAACGGGGAATATGAATTTGCAATGAACAATGACACCACTGAATATCTCTTCAGAGAGCTTCTGCCCCATACTACCTACACATTATTTGTGGTGGCTTACTCTCCCATGGGTGCTAGCAGCCCGTCTCTGCCTATCACTGTAGAGATGCTGGAGGATGGTGAGTAATCACACAGATATAGAGATAAAATAGAGCTGCAAAGGTAAAGTAAGAACAGCCTGAGTTGCTTCAGTCACTCAAAGAAGATATATTATAAGCTTGTCAACCTTGCAACTACTCAGGACATTTAAGCGCTGATGAGTCATTACTATTAGTGGTATCACTGAAAAAGACGTAGTATGTAAACTCAATTGAGCATTTTCCTTTCAACTGTTATTCAAAGTGCAATTCAAATTTCCATACCATTGCCACATAAATGCAGTACACATTTAAACATTAAAAAAAAATCTTGTGATGCTTAAAGTTTGACAAAATATGAATTGGACAACTTGTGTTTTTCTTCTGTCCAGTAACCATGCACATCTATAGCATAGGTTTCTTATATGTGTCAGAAATCTCACTTTATTCTTTTTTTCCTTCTTGAAGTGCCAAGTGCCCCTCCTCAGCTGTATATAGCTAGCACTTCCCGCACAGACGTCAAGGTGAAGTGGCATCCGTTGTCCTCAGAGCAGAGTCGTGGAGTTGTTACCCACTACCGCATTGAGTACAGCATTTTAGATCAGCGTAAGTGTCCTAACATAAGCTGCACAGAGAAAACAAGAAATACTAGCAGCTGACTCGTCGCACCTGTTGCCCAATAGCACTTTGGTTAATGTTCTTACATTTCTGTTGCTTTCTTGTTTGCCACTTTAATGACTTTTAATATAATGCCTTTTTGTTTCTCAATACTTTTCATTTTCCACTGATTTATACATTAAAGTTTCTTTCAGTTGCATTTACTCAGTTCTTGAATGACAGTGTAAGTTGCCAAAACAAAATGTGAAAACCTTTGACGCACCTCTTATTCTTTGTAAGAATAAACAAAGCATGTTATTAATGTAAATTATTTTAGTGTGTAAGTTATTAAATGCAGAATAGTTCAAATAATTATTAAAACAACTTAATAGGAGTAATATTAATCATATTTATGAAAAATAGAGCCCACATCCCATAGAACATAAAGGGATCTTTTACATTTTATATGTCTAACAGTCTGCTCATAGAAGAATATTTTTTAATCATCAAATATCTTTATCAGTCTTAAAAATCCTATAATAGTCGTGCTCTATTCATGGCTCACATCATTGGTATGTGTTCCCACAGCGGATTCTGTGTTTTCCGTGGAGGTGGGGGGGAATGAGACACATTTTACACTGAGAGGGCTGCAACCCAGCCAGACTTACCTACTGAGAATAGCTGCTGGAACTGCCATTGGCTTTGGGGTTCCTTCCGAGTGGGTTCAGCACAAGACACCTCCCATTGATAGCGATGACAGCATGGGTAAGAAAGACATTAGATAATAGTTTGCTTAACAAACATAGTTTAAAGTGAAATGTTAAATATTTTCTACATGATTAAAATAAACTGAAATAAACTTCCCTAAAGTAAGGCAATAAACTGCATCTTTCTTCTTGAAGGCACAGTTCATCTTTAATTTCTTCTCTTACCAGTAGAACTCTTTATCCAGATTGTTCTGGTGCAATTTGAACTGGCTCACTATCAGTACAAAATGATGGGTTGATTTTCAGGGCAAACTGTCAGGATATCGTCATATTAACTGCTTTTAACACCATCTTCAAATACAATATAAGTCATATCTAGTGTGCTAGCTCACCTACCACTGTGTTAGCTAACACTGAAGCTTTGCAAAGGACGATGCCATTAAATATTTATATCCTGTCATACTGTCACAAGCCTCTCATCACAGATAGATGCAAGCTTAATTCTGCACATTCTGACATCATTGGCAGGTTTAGTTCACCACAAAACAATTCTTGCACAAAATTGCTCACAACAAGGATGTTTTTTGGGTTTTTTTTTAGTTTTTTTTTTCTTAGTTTGGTCATCATTTCATGAAAGAGCCGAGGCTGCTGAATTTTTCAAGCTGAGCCATTTAATTCCATCATAATAGAGAGAGGACAGACATCTCAATACAGACAATAGCTCCAAAATCAAGTAAATCACACCTAAATAATCTAGATCAATGATGGGAAATTTATTTTCCAATGGAGCTAAATAAGAAACTGGGACTGTGTTGGAGAGCCGCACCAATAAGCCATCAACAACAGTCCCAGATAGATAATATTAGATGCCTGAAAAATAATATTGGACTGAAAAATCCCTCTGTAACATGTCTCACAACATTAACAACTCTAAGTAATTAGATCCATGCATGGGCACACCCTTCACTCTCTTTTCTCCTGGTTTTGGAACTCACATAACTTCACACTATACTATAAAACACAGAATAGATGAACTGCCTACTGTACTCATGGGATATCAGGTAGCAGCACTATAAGCATCTTATGAAATTATAGCTGTCATGAAAGTCTGATGGTTCATTTAAATAATACATGTATCTGGAATTAATTCCTTTTTTTTTCATTTTTTGTTTTTTCAAGTGATCTTTGCTCCTAATGAGCTGAAAGTTAGAGCCAGTGTGAACACACTTAATGTCACATGGCAGCCCTCACCCAATCACACGTTGGTCTCTGGTTACAAGCTGTCCTGTCGAGAAGTCGAGGCTGAAGAGACGGCCAATGGGGAAAGGACAACACAGACACACACCATCAGGCTCCGTAAGAAGGCTAGATATCATCTCCTCACTGGGCTGGGTACGTTTTTGGAATGTTTGATTCAAGGCAGATGACTGCTGGGTTTTTTATTTACCCCTGTCCTTGGCAGAAAAGTAAAATGAAAAGTAAAAAACAAAAAACAAATTCAACATTTCTTTGAAAAATATCATTCACGTTAGAGCATTTGGCTACAGGTACCACCACAAATGCCCATTGTTGTTAGCATGCACCATCCTTAGAGATCTCTAGTTGTGCATAATAGGAATATCATTGTGTCTCCTTCTGTTCCTGTATATTGGTATCAGGCCCTGACCGACAGTTTGAGGTGAGGCTATGGGCATTCAATAAACAGACAGATGGAGCAGCTGCAGTGTGGAAGGGAAAGACAGAAAAGCCTCATGCACGTAAGCCTTCTTTTTGAATCTGTACATGTACAAATAAATGAATGCAACACATTTATGTCTTGACCTTCATCACCTCTATGGTGTGATGAAAAAGAAAACAAAAATTACACTTTCCAAGAATCAAAGAAAGTAAAGCTCACTTCCATGTTAAAGCACCAACAACGCCTGGGCCACCACCTCCATTGCCCCCGAGCAATATCCAAGCCACAGCCAACAGCTCTACTTCCATCTGGCTGCGATGGGAGAAACCACGGTTCAACAATGTACACATCATCGACTACACAGTGCGCTGCAGCCCAGCAGGAACCACCAACGCATCCATGGTTTCCTATTACACCAGGTCAGAATACCAGGCTACACATGTGAAATTCAATGATGTTTGCAATATGTAAGCGATATTGCACCTGAATGGCGCAAATCCTGATAAAGTCACTTTGACTAAGCCTATTTAAAAGTGGTCTTAGTAACTATAAAAAGGACTTTAATAAGAACTCTAATACTCAGATAAACATCTTTAGAAATAACGTATAACCTCAAGAGATGTAATATTGTTAGAATGAAATTGGCCCTAAGAATTACAGATTCCTGTGTTTTTTTTGTACACTCTTGGTATTTGAACTGATTAACCCTCTCCCCTTGAAAACCGCTTTAAAAACACCTGTTTGCTTGCTTTCTTCTCTAAGAGCAGCTTGGATTCATTTCTTAAAAGAAACTGTTTTCTATTCACTAGCAGACAGTGTATTTTCATTATCAGTCTTCAGAGTATATAATTAAATGTCATATTAAAAATAATATAGACGTATTTCTACAAGTTTTCGTCTATATTGACATGATAGCAGCACATCGTTGCTGCAGATTTGTCAGGTGCACATGTGAGATGAGATTCTCTCATTCTATCACATATCAAAGGTTGTCTGTTGGTAACTATGAAGGCCATTTGAGTACAGCGAGCTTATGTTCAGGACCAGAATGATTTGAGCTTTGTGGCATGGCACGTTATCCTGCTGGAAGTAGCCATCGAAAGATGAGCACACTGAGGTCAATAATTGACAAACAGTATCTGCAACAATACTCGGGTAGACTATGAGATTGAAGCCATTACGCCTCCGCCAGGCTGAACTATCGACATTGTCAAACTATCTTTTTGTTTACTTCAGATTTTGACCCTACCATCTTCTGTTGCAGCAGAAATAAAAACTCATCACACCAGACAATAGATGTCCAATCTTCTATTGTCCAATTTTGGTGAGACTGTGCAAATTATATCCTCAGTTTCCTCTTCTTAGGCAGGAGTGACACCTGGTGTGGTCTTCTGCTGTTGTAGCAGAAGACCACTGTCATTTAAGACAGCACATGTGTGTTTTTCCATGTGATTTCGACATAACCTATACTACTACCCATTCAGGACTCTCATCTTTGTATATTCCAGCTCTGCACAAGAGATTTTGCTTGGGGCACTGAAACCCTTCACTCGCTATGAGCTGGCAGTGCAGTCTAATGGAGCAAATGTGGTAGGACCCTTTAGCGGCACTGTGGAAGAATCCACTCTCACTGACCGTAAGTTTTCAGCTTCAACCTGGATATTTCAGAGTTGGTTTTCTGTATGCTGTTGATGAAAAAAAAAACAAGCACTAAATCTACTGTAGATGGTTCTTGACACATATTTGGTTCAAGAACTCATATTAAATATGCACTTCAAGTGAATCCTCCAGCCATCAGGTCTTCTTTCATGTATGTGAAGCAGAGAAATGAAAAATCCTTTCTTTCATATTGTTTGCGGTCCACTTGAGTAAGTCACTTAACCTTAACATCTCATGAAGAACTACTCTGAGCCAAAAGAGAAAATGTGCTTTTAAATGCATATCGATGTGTGGGACCCTGTTTCCTGCAGAAATAGAGAGTACATGACAAGGAAACTACAATATTTCTTTCTTTCTTTTAAGTGGGCAAATAAAAAAAAGGAATTGTGTATATTTTAAGCCCTCCGTAATAAATTCATCTCAAAATAGAGTTATAAAATCTCCTTCCTACCCTTTAACAGGTGGCAGACGAAGTTCACTCTCATTCATTTCTAAGGTTTTTGAGAGCAGAATTTAAAACAAAAATCTAGCCCTTTAAAATGATTTAAACACAACCTCAGATGAACAACACATGACATACTACATGATGTCAGCCAAAATGCAGAAGCAGTGTATGATAAACTAAGTACACTCCATGGTTCAGTAACGTTTAAAACCACCTTTAGCAACAATAAATTCAAGTAACTTGAAGTAATTATTTACTGTTTAAACTAATCAGTCTCTCACATTGTTGCTGAGGAATTTTGGCCCATTCTTCTTTACACTGTTGCTTCAGTTCTTTAAGGTTTGTGAGAATATATTTATGCACGGCTTAAGGTCTTGCCACAGCATTTCAATCTGATTGAGGTCATGACTTTAACAGAAACTTGCTGCACCTTATGTTTTTGCAATCCTGTTGTAGATTTGCAGATTGACCTGTGATGTCCCTTTTCAGCCAAGTTTTAGCTGGCAGACGGCCTAACATTTGACAAAGGTTTTGTGAAGATATGCTCGGTTTGGTGTTCTATAGATATAATGGTGTGCATTATTTGCTGTGCATAAACAGAAATCTGTTCATATTTTTCTTTTACCCTTTTTGGACATTATTTACTGTTTGCTAAAGCAGCAAAAGTCAACAAATATTCAGAATTACCTCTAAATAATAATAATTTAAAAAATTGCATCTAAAGAAAATAACATAATGAAAATGTGCAAGATTTAACCTTTTGATTTAAACATATTCCAAAAGGCACTGTCTTAGTAGGAAACTACTAAAACCCCTGCTTTTATACTTACACTTGCTGACTGATCATCAGTAGCAACCAGGTGCTGCTAATCAAGTGTGTTTGATTAGCAGCAAGGGTGCAGCTCACACACTGCTTCTGCTAGCAAACCTATACAAACAAACATACATACCCTACGATCATTATTGTTTGATGCCGATATGTTTATATTGTGCCATACTATTATATATTATTACATTCCATTTAGTGTTTTATTGAGCCTTCAAATGTACAAATATGTACAATTGCAGTATTTGTTTAAAATATTTGTATATAACATGTCCTAGGGAAGGCTTATGCAAAGTTTCATCAAGACTGATCCACCTATCTTGGAGGAGATGGGGAACATACAAACATATATGCTCCGATCATTATAGCATAATGATGATATTGCCTTGGTGTATTATGTTACGTGTTGTCGTTCATCTTTCAGGTCATGTTTAAATAATTTTAGAACCTGCTAAGGACCAGATGTTTTTTTTTTCTGTGTCCTGATAAACAAAAACACAGAACTGAAAAATTGTGCACTTTTTTCATATGACTGTAACAACACACCCCTTTATAAAAGTTGAGCTTTTTGTTGGATTAACTTATGATTATTATGCCAGTTTTATTAAATTGTGTCAATGTTCTTCTCCAGCTAGCAAGGTAATTGTATGCAGTTCATCCTCAGATGGTGCAGCTTATGGGTATGAAGGTGTGCGTTTGTGGATGCAAGTGAGTGTGTGCTCATTCATGTAAAAATCAGCATGTTGGCTGGCTAGTGGTTTGCAAACATAGAAATAAGCAGGCGGTGATAATGACTGACAGCTCTAATAAAACACCCAAGTGTAGTAGTAGCTCTCACTCTGGCCAACAACTTCTCTCCCAGATGTGAGTGATAAGTGCTGAGTGGGCCACTTTTAATAATAACATTGACACCAGTAACCCCATCATGCTCTCCACTACTGTGTGTGATCACCTGGGCCCCTTGTCCTTTCTCCTATTGCCCTGCACGTCCCTCTCTCCTGTACCCAGGTGGTAGGGACATGAGGACACAGATGGTTGTCACACAAATATCAAATCCCCCACAATGACAATATACATTCTCCAGCTGTGAGGCCTCATTTCTGGGCTCTAATTACTGACCTGACCCTCCCTTCCCCTTCAGGGCCTTCCACACCTCCCGAGGAGCTTCAGCTGACTACGCTGGACTCCTCGTCGGTGCTGGTGAGCTGGCACCCTCCACTGGAGCCTAATGGTATCATCATCAGCTACTGGATTTTGTACAGTGGCAACCTCAGTGAGCCAGAGCATTTATGGAAGAACGTCTCCCAGGATGGTGGGTGTTTCTTTTCACAACACTTAAACAGCATTAAATGAATATTTTATTTTTATATTTACAGTAATATTTGCTCTCTCTATGATACACATTATTTTGCCTATTTTAAGATTTGTTTTCTCTCTCACAGGGAGTATTACCAGTGTAGAGGTCCAGGGATTGGCCAGTGGCACTCGATATTTTTTTAAGGTGGGGGCATCTACTGAGGTGGGGCCAGGGCCTTACTCACCTATAAAGGAAGTTCACACAAGCCATCAAGGTATGTGTCAAGCAGAGGTTATATGGGTTATATAAAACTGCAGTTTTGCACTGTTACTGTAAAAGATTTAATGTCGTTTTATATAGTCCTGTGGGAAAGCAGAAGTTCTGGGCATTTCTGTGGGTGTTTTTCATTGTCGCATACCGGTTTCCTCTGTTTTGTTTTCTAATCTTTCTCGCTGTGTTACAAGCACACATACACTCTTAAAGATAGTCTCACACTTCCTGTATATGCACATAGTCCTTCTAATTAAAGTAAGTAATTTGTCTCAGCTGGCAGAGAAAGACTAGCTTTCCATAAGCTTGTTATTTCTCTTCTCCTAGTCTGCATCTTAAATATATTAAAATGTCAGATATCAAAGGGTGGCTTCATCAGTGACCCCAGGGTTAATTTTCAATTACTGCTTTGTGTACATAACAGAATTTGCTATGAATGTACTTTCTTTACTCTCATGTCAATTTGTGATTAGGCTTGCAGTCTCACTACATACTTTTTAATTCCATCAGTCAGCATTTTAGCTTTCGTAATTATTAAATGCCCTGCTTTTCGTTAAACACAGAGCCATTAACTTCCCCAAGAACTATTAAGGATTAAAGCAAGAGTTAGGAGTTATGCTGAGGACATGCTATCTGGAATATTTTTATCAGTGCTAGAAGCAGCAAAATGCTTTTTTGTTTTGTTTTTTCTTTTCAGGCAATTGTCCTAATAAAAAAGGTAGAGTAACAGTTTTTTTTTTGTTCATATGGGCTTTAATAGTGTTTGCAGATAGCAGTGGAAGTGGGACTCAGGTAGCTAGTCGGCTGGGAAAGAGAACTCCTGCCATCTGTTTCCTCTCCTCTTCTAATCTAAACTGCCAAAAACACCCAGCATAAATTCATTTTAATGAAGGTCTGCTCTTAAATGTTGCCCATCGCTTTGCTGCTATAAGCTTGACTTACCTGAAGAAATCAGTGCATTTTAGCAGGCCTTATATAACAGACCTGCACAAGTTTTACAAATAATAGTATTTTTAAGACTGGCTTTTTTGTACAATTCATGAATCTCAGGTAGCAGATCAAATATCAAAAGTTATAGTCAGTATATCTGGAAGAGCAAAAAAGCCCTGTTGTTTATACTAATAGATTTTTTTTCTTTTTCCATGTTATCTCAATTTTTAACAGAGCTGGACATCCATGCAGTGACAGGCATTATAGTGGGTGTGTGCCTAGGACTGATATGCATCCTCCTTTGCATGTGTTTCAGCTTTCGTAACAGCAAATCCAGGTATGATTACTCTAGAGTTTTAGCACTCATACAGTGGCTTACTAGTTTTACTGCTTATGAACAAAAGGACACATAAAATAGAATGTATCTGTGTGTTAATGTTTGCTCTAAATAGGGAGCTATCTGGGGCTCTGGACTCTACAGCTGTGATACCTCAGTATAAGAGAGGAGGCTGCCCCATTCCCTCCAACATACCAGAGTGCAGCAACAGCTATGAGTTGGAGACATTGATGCCGGCAGGTAGCCAAGAGTCTGGTCAACCGCCAGCAGAGGCCTCAGAAGAGCAGAGTCTGATGGCAAGTGATAATCCATTGAATGGGGAAGGTGATGCCCCTGCACCTGAACTCAAGGTCTACATCTTAAAGGGGAAAGTTTATTTTTAGATGGGCATTGGATATTTTCTCTCTATGTGTTGTATATATAGAAACTTTCCCCTTTTTTCATTTTTTTTCTTTATAACTCTCACATTTTGTTGAGGGAAAATACTGATTCTGGTGTTTCAACTATGTTGTTCATTTTATAGGCTGCCTGGAACGGCTCTGTAAGCCATAACTGGGCCAACAGAATCACAAGATACAAAGACACCCTAATAGAAGATTCTCCAACACTCGTGAATGGAGCTCTCAACATGCTAATCACTGATAATGGCATGGTAATTTATTGAACAAAATATGACTTACATTGTCTATATTAGGCAACAACTGTTCTCTCAAAGACTTTCTCCAACTGTATTTCTAATTCACAGTTTAGTAAACCCAGCCGCACGTCACATGTTGCTAAATCTTTCATGCTTACACCCTATTAAACTTTTAAATCAACGAATAATACATTTCAGAATGAGGTTAACAAAATTTGTGACTGGTGATTGATTTTACCACCTGAAATCATTATTTTCACTGCCAGATGCTATCATAAACATCAGGCTAATTAAGCTAAATTTAGCTGCGACAATTGACTTTTTAATGCATCCAGTCTCTAAATGAGGACTTTAATGTGCATTGGATGGCTTTACACAGTAGATAATATTGTTTTTATAAAGTAAAATATTGTTTTCAAAGGCTTTGTCCCAAGTTGCACATCACCAGTTAAAGGGCAGCATATTCACCTCTTTGAGCTATAAAAAAGAGGGGAAAAAGCATATTTTTTGCATTTAATCTCAGCGCTAGTTAATTCCAACATTAATAATTTGTTTATTAAATGTAGTTAGTTAAGTACTTTGTTTTTAGCTGATGAAGCTAGTTAGCTGGGTATGCTAAGAAAAGTAACATCCTACATTAGCACAGGCATTGTGGGTAAATGAACAAATGAGGAACTGTCAGAGAATTCATTTGTTCGGGGTGATAAACTAATAAAAAGAAAATCTCATGTAACAGTGACACTGTTTCATTGCAGGAAGAAGATAATTTGAGTACATCCATGTGCAGTAACCAGGTTGAGGCAGAAGTCATTGTTCATTCTGAGCTTTTGGACACAGGGAGGGAGAAAGAAGAGGAGGGCTATCAAAACACAGATTCTAACACCACCTTGGGACCCTCATTGTCAGAGGAAAAGTATTCCTCTTTGAGCCAGCCGAATTCGCAAGAAGAAGAGGAACATCTAGAAAAACTGTCACTATCCCAAAGCTCCTCAAATCTTCCCTCAGTAAAGCTGGTGGCTACTTATAATGGGGAAATTGAAGATGCAGGACACCAGCTGACTGCAGACACAGCACCACATCAGGAAATGGGTCTAACCAATGGTTTCCATTCTCCTAAGATTGTGCTGAGGTCAGAGCGTCTGGAAAATGGGGACTCTAGACACTGTCCATCTGCAGCAGGGAAAGCCATCTCTCCTGGCCTGTCCCCTTCCCCCTTTGTCAGCACTGGACTTGTCCACTCTACCTCAGCAGCACACAGTTATCTGTGCCCATAGCCTCTGCATGCAGGGCATCAACCCCATATGGATTTTCTTTTATGTACCCAGGAAAAAAAACCCAAGGATTATTTTTATGCACCTCATTATTAGCTTTCTTTCTCTTCCTTGCAAAGTTTTATAGGTACTTTGAATCCATTGTTTCATACTTGTGTATATAGAGTAAACATATACGGTATATTTTTAGTGGTAGAGTACTGTATATGGGTATGCATTCTCTATCATTGCAACCACAGTTTCCTCTGGGTCTTTCCTATCCATAGGAAGGAAAACGATTTAACCAAGCAGACGGACATGAATTGGAGAAGGCATTTCTCACTGTGTCGTAAATGGCTCTGTTCCACTCAGGAATGAGAAAAGGCCAGGAATTTTCCGTGAGTGAGTGCTTGGACAGGTTATCATCACTGATGAATGGATTGGAAGCACAGGGTCTCCCTGGGTTTGGTAGTGTGGATGCTACTTCAGTGTGGCACTTAGGAATAAGCCTTAAAGAGTATCTTCACACTCTGCAAGTGCAGAACACCTGTGCCTCTCTCCAGCCACCTGCTGTCTCAGGGTCCACAGCCACACACACACACACACATACACGCACATACAAACACACAGAAAGCTAAAAACCTCGCTAATTCCTCGATATTGCATGTAAAATTCAAACAGTCATGTGTAAACACACATTTAGATACATTTCATGACTGGAATGTGGGGGTCTCAGGTGCCTAATTATTCTAGGTGCATTTATAACCTCTGTATATTTCTAAATATTACATTGAGTCCAAGTACAAAAAATGTCAATTGGAAACATATGAAGTATACAGATGTGGAACGTGAAGTATTCTTTTCCAAAATGCCATATATCCCTGTGGTGTGATTTTGTAATCCAGGGACAATTGAAAAGTAAAACATGTTTTCTTTTGGTTTTTATATGTCATGTATGGAATTATAGTATTTAGATGTTTATTTTGGTATTGGTTTGTGTTGATGGGAGTACTAGAGGAGGTGTTACAACTGTACATCTGTAGACCACTCTCCTTTCTTTAGCTCCTAAATGGGGATGCACCATTGTCCCTACTATTGTCAAGATACTGTGCCATTGTGTCAAGATACTTTTTTCCCCTCTGTAAATGTATTTTTAATATGAAATACTTGCCACAATTCAAAGTATATAGTGTATTTGACTTGATTCTGCCTGACTCGAAATGTCCACAACTCTTTGCATTGATTTTGACAGACATCAACAAGATCAGCTAGAAAGGAAGGAAAAAATATACAGTGCTTAACAAATTTATTAGTCAGCCAAAAGTGTGGTTTATGCCATTGCTGAACCTAACTAACAGTACTGATACCTACCCAAATCTTCTTTTTCTGTAACGGTCAGTATGTACAATCTCTAATTGAAATCATATTTCTTATGTTAAATTATAAATATTGTTGTTAGCAATGAATTTTCAAATTTACTATTATACAAAAAAAAAAAAAGCTGAAGAATAGTAAAGCCAAATTACAGTTATCTAGCCTTCATGAACACAAAAAAATAGTTTTATTGGTTGGATGTTACAATATGCTTTATAAATTTCTGATTTCTCAGAGATGTTCAGTGAGCTGGTCGACATTTGGGTATAAAAATACAAAAATTATATATTTAGTTTTCAATGTGTATTTAACAGACTTCTAAAATATTTCTGTTTTCTTGTTTTTATTACAGGTCATCGAATAAATTTGTTCAGCACTATATGTGATCCATTTTTTAATGGGGTTTTTTTATCTTTGAAATTGTTCCTTATATATTCAATCAGTCATTTTCAAAATTAAAACGTTCATATTACAAGCAGTGAGTCAGCATCGGTTCAAGGAGGGTAGAGACTGGTGCATCCCTACTTCTTATCAACAGCACTACCTCATTTATTTTCAGGACGGTTTCCAGTGTGATTTAAGTAGTTTTATGTAACTAGCACCTTTTGAGATCTTATTCTTAACTTGTCTGATTTTACAGCATTTAATATTTGAACGAATAATCGTCCTGCAGTGACTGTATGTGTTATGTCAAACTGGAAATTATGTCTCTTTAGTGCATTGCAGCTTCCTCTCAGATTTCTAATAGATTGTGTCTGTCAGTGTAACGTTACCCTTTCCTGCAACATTGCTCTACTGAAAAAAAAAATACATAACCCTATGGCTTTGATGTGATGCATCTGAAACTCATCCACCCAGTGGCATGTGGTTTCAGAACTATACTTCCAGTCAAAGTAGAACCAAATACAGGAACGTTCTACCAGTTTCTGTAATCCGGTCATTCAATCCAATGTTAAGGTTTTTATTGGGTTCTAATGATAAACAAAATGTTGGATTATGACTTTTTTGAATTCAAGTTGCCCTAAATATAAGGTAAAATTGTGAAAATACTTGAAGCAGGCCATCAAATTGGGTTTTTTTTCTTGCCTGCTTCAGGTCACTAATGTATAATAAGAGTTCTGGCCTGGGTACTTAGTGCATGATGACAAGGATGTGCGACACTCATTACTCATCAGACAAAGTAATTCATAGCTACAGATGGCTCAAGTCTTTGCATACCTTTTACAACTTACATTTTCAAAAGACTTTATCAGGTGCTTCACTTCAAAAAGAGAGTTTTTAAAATGATAATACTGTTCTGGGGGGACTTTTCTTTTTTTTTTCTTTTTTTTTCTGTAGATTCAACTCTAAAACAATAGCAGGTCTGCAGAGCTTGTGAGCAGTAATAATAATGTCATCTATCTCAAAATATAATCTTAGCATTGAGTCAAGCCCTGTTTATGATGTCTCATCTTCTCTCAGGTTGTTTTTCTAGCAGTGATAAAGGAGCTCAAATACTTCAGCAGCAGAAATGGAAATGGTTGTTTGTTGACATTAATGAAAAAAGCTCAGTGTGTTCAGTGTTCCTGCTAAAATGCTTTCCTTGCCAAAATTTCTCAAAAAAGTTTTTTGCCTTGACCTTTATCTACCCAACATCAAAGTATGACTGCCATTTATTTATTTATTTTTCACATACAATAGCAGTCATTTACAGACAGAAATGAATGTGTGGAAACCCTGTGTGAAACATTGATTGGAAATTCATTAAGAAAGAAAGTGATATTTGTTGCATCTGGATGATTCACTGCCAGTTACAGAAATTATTATTACACATCTTCAAAATGCCACATTAAAAAGGTCTGGCACTCAGTTTAAGGTTTGTCTAACCCACTTAAGTGGTCCATAGAAGGCAAATCAACCAAATGCTCACGTGGTAAAAAATTGCTGCTTCACTATTGTGCACACAAGTCTAAACTGGTAAGCATGTTTTACATGTGACCATTTTCCAAACAGTGATTTCAAAGCAGGTTTCCTTTTGCTAGTAAAGTAGCATACCTGCTATGATATACAATTTAAAAGTTTAGTGAACAATGCAGCCACAGCTTTCTGACTCGTGCTTTACGATTTGTCTTTTATAAAAGTTAAAGCAAAGCACCAACTTTTTTTTTTTTATTTTACACGTGAAATTCACTGTTACTGATCTCTACTTAGCGGCTACTCTAAGTAGGTATCCTTAAAAGGCATGTATGTCCTGAGTACTGGCAGAAACATTCTCAAAAGCATTCCAGTTTGATATCTTCAACATACCTCTCTCAGTCCAAGTCAGCCATGATGAGCCATGCTCGGAAAAGAAGTACTAATTCACTCATAATGTGCAACTTCTGTTTGGATAAGTTTTGTGTTTGGATGGAAATCACTGAATCAAGGCAATGTTAGAAAATCACAGTGAAAATGTACAATGACAAAAAAAAATACTTTTAAATCTTATGAGCAAAGATTTAATGAAGCTCACAACTATCATTTTCATTTTCAAAACACTGCACTGAACGTAGGTGCTGTTCTTTCAGACTCTATTGTCACTGCACATAAAGTGTAGCCATAGAGATGGTATATTCTCTATACCAATGCACCATTTTTTGTCATGGAGAATTTAAAACAATTGAAAATTAGTTAGTTTGTGCTTGGGAGTTAATCAAGTAAAGACACCATCACATCCACCATGAAGGAATTTAATTTCATGATGTTGCAGTTGCCAAAATCTTAGGTAGACATAGTTTAATGCCCCCCCCCCCCAACTGATATTTCACTTCTATCAGGTTGTTTCACTTATGTATTAAGTCTTGATGCAGTAGTGAATTATTATGGTGTGTGGAGGTGACAGAGGATATGAAATGGCGATTAGCATAACCCTGCCTGCAGCATGAATGATGTATACTCTCCTAATAGGAGCTCTGTTAACACTATTAGCCACTCTTTTGAATTTATGTATAAAACCTTGCTTTCTTTGTACACCTTTTTGTTGGCTAGAACAATCACATTTCTAAAGAAAAATTGACTCATTCTCTCATTTTGTAGAGAAGATAATTACTTTGATAATTATGTTGATTTCGTCTTCTTTTTGTAAGGGTTAATTAAAACACTATACCTCATGTTGGTAACTTCATTTGATTCTGATCAGTCTCTTGATACTGCACATTTTGTAAACAAGTAGAACATTAAAGGTAAGAATACTGTTGTTTTGTTAGCCAAGTGTTTTCACAGAGGATGGGACTTGTGTTTCATTTTACCTCAGTGTGAGTTTTTACTCATTATAGTGACTTGGATTGTCTAGTCCTGCTCTGAGGAGTTCAACACATGAGAGGAGGGATTAAAGGAAACCATTCAAATGTTGTGTATTATTTGGCAATATGAGTAATTACCAAGAATTTCTAAAAGTTTAAAGGCAAAAATCATAAAAATGTCTAAATCTGCTAAACTGTAAAGTATTTTTTTTCCTAGGGAGAAGGGCTAAAGAGAACCCCTCCTGAGGCAGGTTATACCTCTCAGTGCAGATAGATTTCTATAGAAATAAAAGTCTCTTCTCAACTCAGGTCTCCCATCTTTGCATAAAAGGATCATGCCTGCATATTCAATTCAGATACGTGTCATGTGTTGTCAAACAAAGCCTCATTTTGTCTTTTTGGGAATTAAATCAAGGAAAATCTTATGCACAGATGATACGTTGTTTTGTACAAATCACTCAGTGCATTTCTATCTCTAGCTTTTCTTTGTACGTTCTGGTGCTTTGTGGTGAGCTGCTTTGTCCAGTGATGTCACAATGTTGTACTTTTTTTGTGGTACATTATCTCTAGTTTTGTGTTTACCCACCCAGTTCTGCCTCTTTTATTATGTATGCACAGACTATAGTCATGTGCCACCAGCGATGCTCTGCAGCTACTCAGACACCTTTGTAATCATTGCGTGCCGAGCAAAATGTCATTAATCGCATATGCTAATGTAGAAGCAAATTGTAGGAGCACTTAATAGATTAGCATTTCATCTTTGGCCACGAGCAAATCTGGTCTGTCATCTTTACATTTCTAGAAGTGCAATTTTCTTAGTGTGTAAAACAAGAGATGGATTACTCAGTGTTAGTCATGGTGATGCTGGCCATGTGATAGATGCATTGCTATTTCAAAGGAATCAGTCACAGAATAGGTATTACTTGTGGTTTGTAGAAATATTTCCGCTGTGTTACCATATGTGAAAATGTCGAAACTCACAGCAACTGTGAGCACTTCTCTTCTGTAAATAAACATTTAAAAAAATACATATATAAACAACACTCGGTGTGATTCTGTGTCTATGCCAAATTGTGTATGCATAAGGATTTTTTTTCCTATAACTTTTGTCAGTCAATTTCACTCTGTCTGATTTCTATTTCTGGCATTTGCATTCTGTAAAATGACTTTTAAGAAATTAGAGATGCTCGCTGCATGTGAGCATGTGTTACACTCAGAGGTTAAAATTTATCCTATCTCCTAATGTTTGAGAGATGTAAAAAATTAGCTCAGCAGATGACTATCTGAATAAGGATGTAGCTAATTAACAATACTAAAATGTCTGTTCAGAACAAATGCATTAAAAAAACATCTACTTTTTTATACTTGTTACAGTAGTGCACGTATAACAGCAAAAGAAATCTGAAAGCAACACTTTCAAAGCTACTGCTACAGCCAATTTGTTTAGCTGACAGGACATATCCTTTTTTTTCTTTTTTTTTTAAAGTCCACCCCCTAAAGAGTTTTAACATTCAATAATTATGAGGTGCCGTAATAGAGTGGATTTTTTTAAAAAAACTTGACATGAAGCAGGTGGCCCACCTGTAATTCGTTATGCTAATCTATCAAGAAACCTTTTGGATTTAGCTTAGTATTTAAATGCACAGTATGCAGTTTTAAGGATCTTCAATGAAACCAAGACATGTAAGACAATGCGATTCCAAATTTTTATGAAAAATGTAAAATTAACATAATGTAACACATTAAAATGGAGTTAAACTTATAGACATGTGTCTGTCATGTTGTGTGCTGTGGCAGGCAGAATGTAGGACTCAAACACAGGACTCAGAGACTGAAGGATTAACTTAAAGCAACAGCCTTTATTGCTGGGAGAACTTTCCACAAAATCAACTCACAAAAACAAACCAAAACCTTGAACATGGAAACTAGAATTAAACTAGACTCAAG